ACAGTCTTTAAACATTTGTAGTAAAAGTTTATACTATTCTTACAGTTCTTTTGATGTCAATGCTAAAATTTACTTTTTAAGGGAACAACATTTCTATTCTCTATGATTCAATTTTATTGATATTGATCCAATTATGCACTACAAATTTTCATGTAAGGAATATTATTTTTTAATGGAATAAAATTTTTTCTCTGTAAGTTTACTTCACACAATGTTAACTGTGACATTGTGCTCCTAAATATGTCCTCATTGTATAATTCTTTTATTGCTGTATTCCGTGCATTTGCATTTGGTATTATTTATTGAATAAGGTATAATTTCTGGTTCTGAATGACATTAGTGCCATTTACCAATTTTAGATGGAATTCATGCTAATCCCGGGGGTCTAATATACTCTAAAATAGCTAAAGCATTAGAAATTTTGGTACTCAAGCCCCAAAGCTATTTTCATTCTAAGCCTGCTAGTATAATTATACCTAACTAAAAATGGGTTAGTAGAAAATGTTCTTTTCACTCTATTCTGTTTATTCTTTCTTGTTAATCTTAAAAAGTAACTTTGGATAGCAATCAGAATGATAGCAACATATATGAGACTGCCTCCTCTCCAGTCCCAGCTCCAACTGATCTACTTTTTCTGAAACAAGCAGCTACTGACACACATAGACAGGTGAGACCTGGAAGGTTTCAGCCAGAAGACCTACTGTGATGATTCTCCTCTTCAGGGACAAACTCAGGGCTGAAACAGTGTAGGGGAGTCCTTGGAAAGGATTTGAGGGGCAAGTGATGGATAGAAAAAGGCTGCAACCAAGAATCTCATATCCATTCAAATTGTTCACCAGTCAGAATAAAAGAAACATATGTGCAGATGGACAAGAAGTGAGAGAACATTCACATCTGAACTCCCTATCCAAGAAAAATGTTTGAGAAATGAATCAAATATTTTTAAGAGTAAAAATATTTATGAAATAAAATTACTTTTAAAAGTCTGTTGAATCTAGCAATATATTTTTATGCCCTTAGTTGGAATTGATCCCTATATTTCACAAATATAATTTAGCAAGTTATATTTGTATAGACAAATGTATTTAGAATGGAATTATATTTCATTTACTAGGACAGATGTATTATTTTGGGCAGATTAGTCTTTTAAACAGAATTTAAAAACCTACTCTTATGCTTTTATATCTATGAAATTAATTGCTTTGACTTTATGAATATCCTAGTGATTTATTTAGAAGGATCCTGAGATTTGGAGTCAAACGGCCTTGATTTCAGTCTGTCATTTACTAATAGAGGCAAGTTGCTAAACTGCTCATATTCCCTGGTTTTCTTTATCATTGAAACATGAATCCTATATTATAGATTGTTAGAGGAATTCATAAAAATATAAATATGTCTTAACAGGTGATTTACCATAATCACCAACCATCCAGAATCTTCCTTTAGGAATGAAAATCACCACGTTTTCATGACAGTGGTTACAAATGAGGGAGGGGAAGCTGCTATGGAGAGGGACTCTGTGGGGTAGGAGACTTTTGTTAATATTTTATTAGATGTAGGTACTTACATTATTTCTTAATTCCTCAAAAATAACCTTTCCTTTTGAAATTTATAAAACTTTCCCATGAAATACCTTAACCAATTAAGTGTCTAACATTTTTCTATCAAAGGACGCTCGCTGCTTACTCTGAAAGTATGCTTCATAATTCTTAGCTTGCTTGGGGCCTACTAGTTAGAATATCATTTCTTTCTTGCCATTCTAGTTATGTTATATAAAGTATCCCATTTCTATTGTGTGTGTGTTAAGTAGAGGACGCAATCTGTCTGTCTTGGAAATTGAACCTGGCTCTTGGAAGTACTGTTTGTTCCACACAGTAGTGGTCTTTATAGTAACTTAAAGTCTCATGAAAAATCAAGAAATTTTGTAACCCTGAACTTGGCATTTCTGCATGACAGCAGTGAGTTAGTGCTGAGTATCTGCTGCTTCCTTTGGCTGGGCCACATGCCCCACCGTTCCCCACACTCTCTGTGTTCCCTGATGTGATGTCAAATATCATTTGCCTTTTATCATCATAAATGTTTATGTTAATTGTTTAGCCCCTATTAGTTGATAACTGTTAGAACAATTATATTCAGTAGATGTCACAGTCCTCTTAATATTTTGCTGTGATATTTTAATTTCATATCACATATTTTCAATACTTCATAAAGCACACCTACATAAGAGGTTTGATCACAAAATATGGTGAATGTTTAAGTCAAAAAATTTATTACAGTAAAAGACACATTGCCATTAATCCCCCTCAAAATACTCCCTCTCACTTTGAATACTTATCCCATCATTCTTGCCACTCTCTGAAGCAGTTCTGTAAGTTCTCTTTTGTAAGTGTGTTTAGTTGTGCTGTCATGGCTGCCTCAATGTCCTGATTAGATTCTAAATGTTTACCTTTCATGGTCATTTTGACTTTGCGGAAGACCTAGAAGTCGCATGGTGCCAGATCCTGTGAACAAGGTGGATGAGGAGACACTGTAATGTTTTTATTTGACAGAAATGACCATACCAGAAGCAATGTATGACATGGAGCCTTTCCGTTGCGATTAAACATATAGTGAATGCTGCTGCCAAGTGCCATCTAATGGAAAGGCAGGGATCTTCAATACAGGATGGGGCACATTGAATCTTAGTAACAATGTGTGACAAGTATCAACTTGTTCAGTGCAGTCAGTTGGGTGTGAGCTACAGTTGAGAGAAGGTGTGTTTTAAAGTGTGCGGTAAACCATCCTCCATCATGACAATGCTCCGTGTCACACATTGCTTCTGATATATGACAATTTCTGTCAAATAAAAACATGGTGTGTCCTCATCCACCTTATTCACTGAATCTGGCACTGTGAAACTTCTGGCTCTTCCTCAAAGTCAAAATGATTCAGGACATCGAGGCAGCCATGACAGTGCAACTAAAGACACTCACGAAAGAGGACTTCCAGAACTTCTTCAGCAAGTGGCAAGAACCATGGGGTAAATGTGTTCGAAGCAAGGGGGAGTATTTTGAGGGGGATTAATGGCAATGTGTCTTTTAGTATAATAAATGTTTTATTTAAACATTTACCGTATTGTTTGATTACACCTTGTACATTTTTCTGTACAAATATCTGACATACTCTTTTTCTTTGCTTATGCCTCTCATATCCACATGTTACCAGTTAAATATTTCTCAAATCTAGTTCTTCCTGTCCAACCCTGCTGCTGCTGCTGTGCACCTCAGGCCCTCTTTGTCTCTGGCCTGGAATTGTTTAATTGCTCCCTAATGCGCTTCTTGCCTGCAGTCACATTCCTTTCAGTTCATCCTCAAGAGTATTGCTCGAATGAATGATGTATCAAAGTGCACATCTCATTTCATCACCCCGCTGTGTCAGATTCTTCTAAAGTCTCTCCACCTTCTGTGGTAGGGGTCAGCAAACTTTTCCTTCAAGGCCCAGATAGTAAATATTTTAGGCTTTGCTGGCCATAAGTTTCCTGCCACAAATAATTGACTCTGCTACTGTTGGGTTGAGCACAAATGCAACCATAGACAGTATATAAACAAATGGGCATGGCTGTGTTCCAATAAAACTTATTGCTAAAACCAGCCCTTAGTTCTAGGGCCAGTCTGTAAACCCCTGTTCAATTATATAAACAGCTCCCCCTGTCTTCCCTCCCATCTCATCTGCCCTGTTTCTTTCTTACAGTTTATTCAAAAGCACCATTCAAATTCTTAAACTTTTCAGAGCACGTCTTGCTATATTGAATTATTTAATTCTTTTCATTGAAGCTGTTTTGTTTTTTTTTACAAATAGCAAAATATTCTAATGTATTTTGTTAAATGTTAATTCTCAAATAATGGTACCATCTATAAACATGGGGTTGTTTAGTCACTTGCTGACATCTTTATTAATGTATTGTGAAGTGCTAAGTATTAAAAACAGTTTTTTTTAAAACATAATTTTTTATTTTTATTTATTTATTTATTTATTTATTTATTTATTTATTTATTTATTTATTTATTGTTAGTTTCAGGTGTACAGAACAATGCAATAGTTATCCTTTTCACCCTTTACATAGAAACAATCCCCCACCCCCATCTATTGCCCTCTCACCCCCGATATCATGCTTATCTATTACAATTCCATTGACTCCATCCCCACACTCTACTCCACGTCCCGTGACTATATGTATATATAATTATAGTTGACATACAATATTATTCAACATCAGCTTCAGAACTACAGTGTGGTGGTCAGAACTCTACACCGACTAAAAACAGTTTTCAAACAGGTCTTTAATAAAAATCATACTCTTCATAAAAGCCATGTTATAGTTTGAATACCATCAAACCTTATCCAAAAATCTCAGAATAAGGTCACTGGTAGGAAAGTAGTTTAGTTTCAACATTATCAATTGTATCGAATCAAGGTTTATTGAGAGAACAATAGTAGGACAGTTACTGGGAATTGAAAGCACATAGCTCACATGTGTCCTATCTTCATCACAATTGCTTCTTTCTAATAGAGTTAGGAAAACAGAAAATATTTGGTTTTAGGATATTACTTGCCTGAAGTATTGGACTTCAAGTTGCTATTTAAATTCTAATAGGTCATTTTGCATGTTTCCATGTCAAAAAAATAATACATCTTGAGAATAAGTTGTTAAATGTGTGGGTATTGCCTCATTTTTGATTTGACATTATTTAGACTAATGCTGACTGGTACAGTGTTGGGTAGTAAACAAAACCTTTTCCTGTAAAAACAAAACAAAACAAAAGAAATTCATTCTTGTATCATACTAATGAGAAAGGTGAGAGATTGGTAGAACTGCTGTGATGGAATTTTGTTAAGATGTGGATGGATATTAATATTGATTATGATAAAGTTCTCTACATTTTCTGTTATTTGCATAACAATACATTAAAGCTCCATCTATTAAAACTGACCTGTAAATATCTTTTATGGTTGATTTTTAGCCACCAGCTGAACAGGCCAAAGCTAGACTACAGATGGTTCTTGAAGCTGCTGGTAAGTGTTGATAATTACACCTTATTTAAATGAAAAGGCTTGAAATAAGTCCTAACATGCTTACAGGTGTGTTAAAGAGAAAAATACCCATTGCCATATATCCTCTCAAATTTCTGAGACCTGGATTACATATATGGCCATATTTTACCTTAAATATGTATTGCTACAGTATGATGTCATTCTTTACCTTTTTATTTATAAACTTGGCTTCAATTTTGTTTTAATTCTGATGAAGTACAATTTGTTAATTTTTTGTCTTTTATGGACTGTACTTTTGGTGGCATGTTTATTGTTTGCCTAACCTCACATCATGAAGACTTTCTCCTACATTTTCTTCTAAAGTTTTATACTTTTATGTTTTAGATTTAAGACTGATCTATTTTGATTTAATTTTTATATGGGGTGTAAGTTTTAGATTGAGGTTTTCATTGTTCCAAAGGAAACAACGTAAATGTCATTTTATGATTTCTCCAATTACATTCTAGTAATTCATTGGACTGTTTGTTCTGGATACCATGTAACCTTAAATACTATGTTTTATTTGTCAGTGGTACAACAATGCTATGACTTTGAATTTAGATATAATACCCAGATTCATATAGACATTAAATACTTTACCTTTTTAAAAATATAAAGATCCATGTCATCTTTTTTAAGCACTGATATTTCACCCTGAACCGTAATGTGCTCCTCAAAATTATATGTAACTTATTCAAGTAATAAGTTGCCAAGATTGTATGAGGTAGAGTTAGAAACAGGGGTCGGCAAACTGTGGCTCGCAAGGCACATGCGGCTCTTTGGGTACATACATGTGGCTCTGAAGTAAAATTGAAATGAGACTAAAACTATAATAGTTTCATTTATAAAATTTTTAAAGGATTTAAAAATTTTTTTTAATTGTAAAAATATACTTATGGCTCTCAAATAATTTTTAAATTGTTGTGAGGGACAGGATTGGCTCTTCTGTCTCAAAAGTTTGCCGACCCCTGGGTTAGAATAATATCACCAAAGTAGTCTATATTACTTTTTAAAGATCCATAAAGAATTCATAATTTCTAATTGTAAAATAGGAATTCTATTTTAACATCAAAAGTGATTTCAGACTACCAAATGATGCTGGTTGTTATTTTTGTATTCATTTTTTTAAAAATAAGTTTTATTGGGTTGACAGTGGTTAGTAAATTTACATAGGTTTCCAGTGTACAATTCTGTAATATATTATCTATATATCACATTGTGTATTCACCACCCAGAGTCAGTTCTGTCTCCATCAGCGTATATGTGATCCTGTTTACCCTCATTTGTATTCATTGTTTGAGAAAATACATATGATTTAAGGATTTCTTGCATTTGTTCCTTGTATTCCCACCCTAAATGTCCACAGTCTAAAGATTGGGAACACCAATATAAATGATATACTAGCTTCATAAATCACTAACAGACGTAACCATAGAGGGATAAAAATTGATAAATATTTTGACTGTAAGTCTCTATACCCCTCTATATTACTTTAAAAGTCACTTACTCATTTTATCTTTAGTTACGTAAAAAACATGATGTATTAAAATTCTGCTTGTTCTAGGGTTTCATATTATAGGATAAAGCTAATTAGTATGATTCTCTATCATTTACATAATATACAGCCATTCTTTAGTGGCATTTTGCTTTGAAAAAATATTTCCAGTTCATAATTTGAGTATTAATAAATTCATGCTTTAAAGGAAAATATTTATGGTGCTTAGTCCAGAAAATATGTTTCCATTAATGCAACTATGAAGAATTTCATTTCATAGTTTTATACAGTTTGTTTTATTTCTTTTTCCTTTAATATGATTTTGAAACATATTATAAAACAAATCTTGACAGTCCAAACCTCACAGAATATAACTTGTTTATATCGGTCCCAGCTGTCACCCTCATTTTAAAAAAAATTTAATATTGTAAATTCTATTAAGGATAAAAAGCTAGGTCTGTGTATTTGAAAAGCATTCAAAATATTTTGACAATTTTCAAATTAAAAAATATATGTTGGACTGGACAAAGGTCAGACCTTAGCTAGACATAGCATTATTAATTTCTTCTTATTGAATATGCTATATGTTGTCCCCAGTTTTTCCCTCTTATCAATAACATTGTGATGTACCTCCTGTTACAAATTATGTTTTCCTTTTTTTATATTATTTTCTTGGGATTGATTACTAAAGAAATGAGTTTATGAGGTTAGAGGGTATTAATCTTTAGAGTGGCGTCTTATATATTTTTGCTAAATTGTTTTACAAAAAAAAAACACCTGTGCTATTATTGCCATAGGTTGAGTAACCATTTTTACCAGACTTTGCTTTTTGATGCCAATTCCATAAATACATCACTTCATAATACATAACGTATTATACCCCTTTGAAGAATATCTGGTATTGCTTTTAATGAGAACTTGTGTCCTGGAGAGGGAAAGCAGATGGATATGGCAGAGCACATAAGCAAATATAGAACTTATTTGTCAAGGTTCCAGACCTTTGTTTCAGGGATGAATTAAAGGTATTCATTGTATCATTAAAAATAAACAAATAAAATAAAATAAAATAAAAGAACTTGTGCTCAGTCTGATAAGGCTTGCAGTTAAAGCCTATCCTCATCCTAAGATTGAGGTGGCTGATAGGAAGGTCTGGCAGTACCCGTTCTGTCACATTGGAGTTTACTTGAATTCCCAGGGAAAACACCCTTGACTTTGGGCCTGAAAATTGGGTATGAGGAATGACTTAATGCTGTATGCTGGATTCTTGACAGTATTTTTTCAGGCCTTATAATCACCATAATCTGGTCAGCGAAGTTTACATATAGACATCCTGCAACTTAAGTCTTTTAAAAACTCTGTCAGTCCCAGAAGAAAACTTTATATGTAACTATTGTATTGTTATTGAACTGTTAGTGACTGTCAATAAGGTTACTAGTTTGGAAGTAAAAATACATTTAGAACATTTGACAACATTATTATTAGGGGTATGATTTTGAAAGAGTAAAATAACATTAAGTGAAATGTGACTGTAGGATGTTGTGCATATTGTACTTACATGAATTTGAAGCCAGATTTTATTGTATTTATGATTTTTATATGCACTAAACCATTACATTTTTATACTTTGCCATGCTAGATCTTCAGATTTAGATGGAATCTAAATTGCAATTGAAACCAAATTTTATGTCTCTTTTTTTTTGTTTGTTTGTTTTAATTGGGGGGATGGGAACAGCGCTGGGGAATTGGGGGAAGGGGAACAGACAAGTTGCTGTCATTTTATTCTTCAGTCTAGTTGTGGAGGACATTGCTTCACTGGCCCAAGTTGGCACCATCATTGCGCTCTTCCTGGGTGAGGCAGGTCAGTTGCCGGCTTCTGGACGGCCGCTCACTGCGGCTGCTGGCCGCTCACGCTGGCTGCTGGCTACACATGGTAGCCCATGGCAACCCACTGCCACAAGGGCTGCAGCCTACGCCGTCCCCGGTGACCCATGGCAGCCCAACTCCAGGTTGAGCTGTTGTTCATCTTAGCTGTAGAGAGCAGTGTCACTGGCCCTCATATGTGGGATCCGAACCGGGGCCCTCTGGCGTTCCAAGCCAGTTCTTAACCATCGCGCCACTCGGCTGGCCCTTATGTCTCTTGTTTAACTTTTAATTCAAAGGTGATGTGAAGGTAAGGTTAGATCTAAGGTTGATTTTTTTTTTTTAATTTTCAAGTGGCAGTAAGACACAGAAAGTTACAAAATTATGTAAATTTGTAAGACTGAATCTAAGTTGTAACCTAGGCTAATGATTTACTCTATGATACTGAGTAAATCCAAATACAAACCCTTTCTGCCATGATTTCTTCCTTTTCTTTTTAAAAATGCTTTTATCATGCTCCTATTTAGTATTCAAAATCTTGAAATTTTTCTTTGACTTCTTTTTAGGCAACAATTCACCTAGAATTAATTAATGACTCTTAATTTGGAAATATTTTTTATATTTATCCTTTTATTATCTTTCCCACTGCCACCTCCTTACTAGACACCAGACATTTCACCCGAAGGTTAATCCATTACCTCCTAATTGGTCTCTTGCTTCAGTCAATTCTGTTATCTTTCCAGAGAGATGGTCGTGAATAGTGAAAGGGTTCTAGGTCTGCTTCCTACTCATTCTGTGACCTTGAGCAGTTTCGTATTCATTTTTTTAGCCCAAACAGGATTTTTTTTTAATGGAATATGACAGATGCGTATATTTTCTAGTTTACTATAGTTCTCTATTTTAAAAAAGTAATTTATTGAGGTGAAATTCACATAATTAAAATTAATCTTAATTGTTTAAAGTGAGCAGTTATGTATGTATTTAAAGTGGCATTAAATATATTCACAATGTTTTATAACTACCATCTCTATCTAGTTCTAAAACATTTCATGACTCCAAAGTGAAACATCTTACTGTTAAGCAGTTTCCTCTTTACTCCCTTTACCCCCAGTTCCTGGTGACCACCAATTGGCCCTTGGTCTCTATGCATTTATCTATTCAGGATATTTCATATAAATGGAATCATGCAATGTGTGACCTTGTCTATTGGGCTTCTTTCACTTAATATAATGTTTTGGAGGTACAGCCTCCAATGTTGTAGCATGTGCCACCATTTTATCCCTTTTTATGGCTGAATAATATTCCATTGTATGTATATAGACCATTTGTTTATCCGTTTATCAATAGGTGGAAATTTGGGTCATTTCCACCTTTGGCTATTGTGAAGTGTTGCTATGAACATGCATATACTTGTACTTGTTTGAGTACCTGTTTGTAATTTTAGGGGTATATGCCTAGGAATGTAATTGTGGAGTCTTGGTAATTCTATGTTTAACTTTTTGAGAATATACCAAACTTTCCAGTGACTGAACCATATTACATTCCCACCAGCAATATATGAGTACAGTCCCTTATTGTCTCAGCTAGACTGTGTCCCGTATTGGAGTTACCTTTTTGAAATTTGGGG